TAGGAAAGAAGAACACTAGGAATGGAGGTGGGATAAATGGAAGGAAGGACACAAGGAAATAAGGAAGGAAACAAGGAAGGACAGAAAAACAGCAGAAGGCTGTACAACGAAGGAAGGAAAAAGCAGAGAAAGGAAGAACTGAAAAAAACTGAAAGAAATAAAGGGTGAGAACTGACTGGAGGACAGAGAGGGTTTATGACCCAAAGGAGGAGAGTAGGATATAAGAAAGAAGGACATGAGAAAGTAAAAGGGAGGAAGTAAACAAGAATGGAAGAAGGGTCACAAAGAAAAGCAAGCAAGTAAGTAAGAAATAAATTCTTTAAAACATCTCCAGAGTTAAACAGTAGTGATAGTTTTAAGCTTTTCTTTTTAGTCCGAAGGCAGTTATTTTCCTTTAAGCAGGTGCATCAAAGACATCTCATCAGATCTGTAAAGTAGTGGTGAAGTTTTTTTCCAGTGTAAATTTTATCTGCAAGGAAACTGATTGTGTCTATGAAATCAAACCTCTAGATGTATCCAAAGAAGAGAAAACTGACTATTCTTTACAGTTTTTTTATATATATATTTGGCTGTTTTTAGGACATCTTTGTGTGTGCTATAAACGTGTGAGTGCATATATGAATAAAGGGAGCACTGATGGTGCCATGGGGTGCAGTCTCTCCAAGTCTCTGCAGCATGACTCATTCTGCCAGCTCATAGCGGGGCTCTGCAACAAACGCACATGAACGCAGCCCTATTAAAGGAGCACTAATGTCACCCGAGCAAAATGCCATAAACTAAGGAGGATCACGGCTGACAGCAAACATCAGATAATGTATAATGTCATGAAGTAAATACAGGTCAGACACAGGAATGAATGTGGCTGTCCAATCAGACATCTGAAGAGCAGGTAGAAGGTACAAGAAGGGGCTGTCCCATGTTTCCGCACCATATGATTGATTGGATGTCTTGACCCATAATCTGCTTTTAACGGCCAGCAGCATTCTGACATGTTCATTTCCCTGTCTGCGTATGAGTAATGGTGTGTGTGGGTGCATGTTCTGCTTGCTTGTGCACGTCCTCTCATATTCTCGTTTTTAACCTTCCCTCCCAGCTCTTTGAGATACATCACCTTCGGCAGCTTTGATCTACGAGCTTGTTTGATCTCAGAAGTTTAGAAATTTCATAATTTATTAGTAAGTAAATCAGTAGAATTCAAAAAGAGAAGGCAGGAAACGGAGAAGAAGCTGTCGGATCCATACATCAGTGAAAGTGATCTTGATTAGAGGATCGACAACAAAACTATGTATATGTGTTTTATACAGACCCTTTTCCTGTGCATTTCAAAAAATATATGTCAGTTAAAGCTATGGGTGCATGATCATGTTACAAAATGAGGGAGAGAAGCAGGAGAGATGGAGAAGATAAATAATTGCACACAACCACGTTAATCAAAGGCTTTCAAGTTACATTCAACAGTCAGAGTGGAAAGTATGCACAACTCTGGGGTGAAAAAAGGTAGAAAAAAAGGCAAAAAAAAAAAAAGAGCCCTGGAAGACCAGCACTCCGTGGTGTTTCTAAATTTTTTTAATTTGGGCAAAATGGATAAATTTTGGCTACATGCCACAGTCAGCTTGTTACAGATTCAAGACCAATCAATATATAGAGAGAGACAAGAAAACATTTAAGCCAATTAGAGGCAGATCAGGCAATAAGCCCAAAAAGGAAACATCTGTGAGGAACACAGTCTAATCAGTGACAATCAACAAAAGCACACTCTTTGAGGTTCAACAGTTTACAATTTAAAAACAGTAAACTATTGCTAACCTGACAATTCAGCAACAAAAAAAAAAATATATGCAAACACATATTTCATAGAGAGCCTTGAATTCGTTGTAGCTTAGTCAGCAATAATTTCAAAACAGTGAAAGATCTCTGAGCAATTCACTCCCATAATATCATCTGGACTGGAGGCTCTTACTCCTCTGGAGCTCCTCACCACCTACCATACGATTGATGTCTTAGCATAATCCTAATGCCACAAAAATGACTTATTAAAAACAATATCAATTTTAAGCAACGTCAAATACCTGGACTTTATTTTTATTCTACTTTCATCAGCCATAGAAACTGGTCAAACAACCAGTTTGACTCATAATTAATTTAATAACTTTCAAACTTTAAACTTTCAAAGTTTCAAGCTCATTTTCTCAGTTTTATTTCTGAGGTTTTTACTAATAATAAAAATTCTACTGAAAACATAGAATTCCCTTGTTTTTAGAAAACACAATTGTCTCCAGAATACTGCTTTTTTTTTATTAATGTGGTCGAGCTTAGTGGGTAATAACCCTGCCACAAAGTAATGCCGAATCAAATTAGTAGCCTAAAACAACATGATTTATCTTTGATGCTTAAAGGCAAAGTTAAGATTAAAACTGTGAAAGAAACGTTTCAAACTAGGAGTCAATTATTAGCTAATAGCTAATACCATGCCGTTGTTCAACACCAACGGATTCAATGTGAAAAACAAGTAGTATCAAGTAGTTGAGATGTTTTTTATAAACAATTAAAAAACACTACTTTTTTAATTTGTGTAAGCTGCAAAGTATCATTAAATCATACATTAGATGTTAAACCTGACAAAACAAGTTGTGACAACTTGAAGTGTCTTGCAAAAGTACTCATGTTTCTTTCAACGTGACTTTGTCACGTTGACAACCACAAACTTTAATGTATTACATTTGGATTTCATGTGATAGGTTATTTCCAAGTGGTGCATAACTGTTAAGCCGAAAGAGAATGATGCAATTTGTATTCAGAACCTTTAGGATGACAGCCCAGCATAAAATGCAACTCAACCTATTACCTTCAGAAATACTAAATAAAGTCCACCTGCATGTCTTTTAAAGGCCCCAGAGTTTCAAGCAGTCCCCTGCTACATTGACATTTTGCTAATGATATATCTTACAGTTCCAACAGCTGCCCTAGTTTTTTTAAAACCGCAAACTTTCATGAGTTTCTTTTAGGATAAAGTAGCATCAAAGTGTCCAATAAGCCCTACATATATATTGTCGGGAACAACCTTTGTTTATGCTTAAGGCCAGGTGAAGCCCTCCTCCATCTCTATACATCTCACTCACACACACCACTACTTTCTTTCTCCTTCTTTGCCATCTCTGCTGTAGGGCTGCATTACCTTACCGGCTCCCCAGTTCTCCCCTTTCGCTCAGCCGGTGCTCCAGGGAGCCACCCACACCAATCAGCAGACGGCATATGATCCTCTCACACATACACTCAAACACATGCACTCACCTACACCATACAGTGCAGTGGAAGGGAAACTGAAAGTACCAGCTTGTGTGTGTTTATATATACACCGAGTCCAGAAGGCCCTTGAAATATGCACAGCAGTCCCATGCATAATACATGGGCACAGCAGGAGAAAAGAACTTGTGAGCCGAGTGGATCTCTGCCTCTCCATCTCCTCGCTCCACCCCTCCCTTCCCACTCTATAACACTGTCTGCTGAAGCTGCTGTGCATATGTCTTAAATAACAACTGTCTCTCAGGGTCATGTGTGGGTCATGAATTGTGATGGAGGGAACGCATCAAGGCTGGGGTGGCGGTGGGAAAATGGATAGACGGCAGCAGGAAAAAGGAATGAGGTGAGACTGCACGGTCACACAGAAAGTCACGCATTTTTATGCTCAGCAGATGAAGAACTATAATCTGAACTGAAAGGAGGTGAATGATTCACTGTTTTCAGTCAGCTGAGACCAAACCTGGTGGCAGTTTCAGCAGGATCACTGACGTTTACAGGCTGAGTGTCCAAAGGTCAGACAGTCTATAGATGCCACAGAATGCCAAGCTGTGGTAACTTACTGCAGCTTTGTCATTTACCTCCAGAAAGTGAAGTGCAGCTCCATGACAGCTCCTGTGCTTGAGTAATGATGTTTAGCACCGGGGCGCATGGAACAAAACTTTTCCAAGTCCAATCTAGGTTTGTCTCTTTGGCTAACAGATTATGTGATGGATGAGGTGGGCAGCTCATTACGTCATTAAAATTCAAGGTGCCCTTCAAATACAAAAGAGATCCTATAGAATATCCTGCATTCTGAAACATAAATGTTTTGGAGGATAATAAGATTGTAATTGTCTGTTAAAAATAATTAGACTTCAGCCTCGAAATTAGATCTGAATAAAATGCTAAATATTTTTATTTTCCAGACCATCAGGTGTACCTACAGAATAGAGAGTTGATAAAATTTTAACATTTTTTTTATTTTTATATGATCAACCAACACAAGGCAGTTCATTATCCTGAAATGGGTAGAAAAGAATATTGACTTAAGCTGGCTTAAGTCAAGACAGTTTTGCGAAACAGAATGAGACCAGATTAAACGGGAGCATCTGTGAACGTCATTTTTTCAGTCTTGCCACTGAATCTCAATTTGGGTCAGGACTTTGACAGCGCCATTTCACCATATTTATATACTTTGAGCTAAACCATTCCGTCTTGTTCTAGCTGTACTTTGAGAAGAAGTTGCTCTGCTTCCGTCTAAAGTATTTAGTGCCACCCAACGTCCAATCAACTCTGACACAATTGTCTATCCTGACTGACAAAAAGCATCCCCACAGCATGATGCTGCCACCACCATTCTGCATTATGGCAAAAGTGTGTTCAGAGTTATATGGAGTTTAGTTTAGTTAACCAGGGCACCTTCTTCCTTGTGTTTGTCCCTTATGTGACTTGTGATAAAACAAGATTTTTTTTTCCCCAACAGCACCATTTTATCTTGTGAAACTCTTTGCAGACATCTTAAAAATGAGAAGATTTTTGACAGAAGATTTTGTCTTTCCACTTCACTATTATACACTGCTTTGTGTTGTTTTATCACAAGGCACTGTATTTAAATTATTTCAAGTCTACTTTTTCACTTGAAACCTTTTTACAATGTTCAGCTTTTTTAGAAGTGACGCTTCACAGATTGTTCATAAACAAAAAGATGGTAAACCACTTACAATGAGCTGCTTGAGGCCGATGAAGGACTGCTCCACAGAGTTGGCGGTGAGGACCTGACGCCTCATGGCAGCCTGCTCTCCCAAGAAACGAAGCATGAGGTCTTTCACGGCATCTCCCTGCATCAAAAAAACAAACAAACAAAAAAAAACAATACTGATTACAGTTAACCCACAATGTCTTATTTTTACTGTTACATTATGTCCACAAAACCCCGAGCATTAATATCTTAGCTACTAAAAATATCAACTGTGGACATTGAAAGCATCTAGAGTCCATCCAACTGTTTGCAAAAAAAATACCATGGTTCTATTACTTGATCAGGTTTTTGACTTTACAATGCATGAATCAATCAACCAGTTATTCAAATAATTGTCTTATTTGTATTTCCAATGCATTAAAAGCTACCAGCAGTAGAATGTTTAGCTACTTTGGTTCAATACATGGATGTAATCTGTCCTTTTCTAGGTGTCAGCAGGTAAAATAAGGATCAGAACCAAAATTAATGAAACTTGTGTAATAAAAGGTCTTAGAAAACATTAAACAATTACATAACATTATATGCAGGAGTGCTGTAATTTGTGAAAATACCTGAAAAATAAATAAATGAACCATGCTTTAAGTTCATTGTTAAGAAAAAGGTTTGTTTACATGTACAAAATCATTGTAGGAAAGGGGGCAAAAATGGTACTTGGTGAAGGTAAAAAAATAGCGTGTGAACTGCTGAAGGGTGAGTACATCCTTAGATCTTAAGAAAGAGACAACAAACATTTCACAGTTCTACTGCAGAAAATCCCAAAATAATGAGGTTAGTAGCTCTAATGTGAAGAAAGTTGATCAAAGAGTATGAATGCTTAATTTTAACGAATGCTAATTTCATTAAATATGAGACTGTTGATAATAATAATAATAATAATAATAATAATAATGACTGATCCTTTACTAATTTTTGCAGTAATCAATGTGAAAACAGTTGCTGAATCTATAGATAAAAAGTCACTCTGATTTAATGTGTACAATTATTGAAAACAAGTTTGAAATGGCTTTACCTGCAGGTTGTCAAATTTCAGCCCAGGCATTGTGAGTTTGTTGCTCTCTACATATGCAGTGCTGTACTGCTGGGTGGCAACAGATATCAAGACTTTCCTCGTCTCCTCACAAGGCAGCCAGGCATCATGTCGCCTGTCCACCTCACTCAAGCTCAGCGCAATCGCAAACGGGTCATCGCTCCCTGAGAACACAGCTTGGAGCTGGTTGAAGGGCTGTGCCTGTGTGGCTGAAATGGGGGCCGGGGCCGGACTCGGAGCTGGGAGATTCTGGGGTGGAAGCGGTTGGGAGTTGCTGTTCGGTTCAGTGGGAGCAGGGCCAAACACTGGGCTCGGCGTGGGAGATGCAGAGTCTAAAAGCGCTCCTGGGGTGGAGATGGAAGAGGCTGAAGAGAGCTGGCGCTCAGGGGTAAGAGGCATGGGTGGCGGGCCAGCCCCAGGAGAAAGGTCAGCGTTGGGGTTAGAGACAGAAATAAAGGATGATGGAACAGTAAAAGAATCAAAGAAGTCAGAGGCTGGATTGGCTTGTCCGTTGTCAGCAAAGAACTTACTGAGGCTAGGACTGGGCTGACAAACTAGGGGAGCAGTTAGTTTACTGGGGGTCACAGCTTCATCACTTCCACCCGCACTTCCCATGGTAAAGCTAGGGGACTTGATCAGGGTAGGCTGGAAGCCGTCGGGCACCAACGACTTCGGCAGGGTGCTCTGGCTGAATATGGTGCACACTGGCACAGGTTCATCTTTAGGACTAATCCCTCTTACTGGAACATCATCAGAATTAGCAGCTGGACTCAAAGTATCGCCTTGGGGTGAGACAGAAGCTGGGACTCGCTGTTGTGCGGCCTCCCCCTCTTTTGTTTCCTCTTCGGAGCATTCCTGTTCCAGCTGGCCCACTGAAACTTCAATCTCTGTCATGTTCTGTCCAATTTCACTGTCCTCCTCTATGTTTCCAGGGGTTGCATTCTCCGGCTCCCCACCATCCAGATAGGAGTCGATAGGAGCCAAGTCGTCCTCCTCACTGTTGTTAGGCGAGTCGGAAATCATGACGCTCTCCATCATCTGATCATTTAGTCTGTCCATCAAGCTCTCAGTGGGTGTGGCGCTGCTGTCTCCCTGGGGTGTGACAAAGTCTGTGCCGCCCAGATCGATGCTGTCTTCTTGGGGAAGGATGCTATCTTCGGAGGGAATCTGACTGGTGGCTTCTGCAGCGGGCTCTGAAACTGCAGCTTCATCATCAACCGTGATGCCCAAAGACACGGGTCGCTGGGCATGAGCTTCCACTTTGTCCATCTTAATGCTCCTGAAGAAACGCAAACTTATTACAATTTTAAAGTTAGCTTGTCCATCACAACATCTATGTTAAAATACGGTTTTATTCAGTTTATTAAAGAATACAAAAAATAGTTTTAATTCTGCACAGTTTAAGAACCACATAACCAGTTTGAAATCCTGATCCAATTGATTCTAAAGGCATGAGAATAATAGTAAGAAACTAGAAAATTCCGCAGGAATTTTAAGGGGCATGCCAAAGTGTGCCCG